TTATGTTTTCATCAGTTAAATATGCTTCATATGCATATACAAATAAACATATTGCACAAAAGCTTATACTTTTATTTCACACGAAAGCTACACTGTTTCCATGTAAATTTGCAAAGAAGCAACACGGTGCCACTGCTAAGGGAGCGGTGCGAGAGAGACAACTGTCAGTTTATCGAACCTTGTATTATTGAATCATGGGGCATATATTTCTGTTGCAAACCTGGGTTGCCTTGTGCTCTTTTTTCACAAAAAACTTTAGAAAACCGTAGTAAAAAGCGTAGCAAATTTCTTAAGAACTGCGTACTGCCTTAAGGAAATTTGACTCAAGAAAATTTCTTAGCCATTTCTTGTACGTCATTTTATATGGAGTTTTTGCTTTTCTTGAGAACTGCATACAGGCCTATAAGGCTGGTATGCAGCTCTCAAGAAATACGTCAAGAAAAATTTGCCATTATTTCGTGTGTGTGTCCAAGGAATTTTGACATTTTCGATACTTCACAGCCTGTTGCCTTGTGCTCTTTTTTCACAAAAAACTTTAGAAAACCGTAGTAAAAAGCGTTCAAATTTCTTAAGAACTGCGTACTGCCTGAAGCCCTGTATGCAGCTCTCAAGAAAATGCTCAAGAAAAATTGCCATTATTTCGCGTGTGTGTCCAAGGAAATTTGACATTTTTGATACTTCACAGCCAGTTGCCTCACTCTTTCCTCAAGAAATAATGGAACGGGCATATGTTTCTGTTGCAAACCTGGGTTGCCTTTTGCTCTTTTTTCACAAAATCTTTAGAAAACCGTAGTAGAAAGCGTAGTAAATTTCTTAAGAACTGCGTACTGCCTTAAGGAAATTTGACTCAAGAAAATTTCTTAGCCATTTCTTGTACGTCATTTTATATGGAGTTTTTGCTTTTCTTGAGAACTGCATACAGGCCTATAAGGCTGGTATGCAGCTCTCAAGAAATCCGTCAAGAAAAATTTGCCATTATTTCGTGTGTGTGTCCAAGGAATTTTGACATTTTCGATACTTCACAGCCTGTTGCCTCACTCTTTCCTCAAGAAATAATGGAACATGCATATATTTCTGTTTCAAACCTGAGTTGCCTTGTGCTCTTTTTTCACAAAAAAATTTAAAAAAACCGTAGTAAAAAGCGTAGCAAATTTCTTAAGAACTGCATACTGCCTGAAGCCCTGTATGCAGCTCTCAAGAAAAAATTGCCATTATTTCGCGTGTGTGTCCAAGGAATTTTGACATTTTTGATACTTCACAGCCAGTTGCCTCACTCTTTCCTCAAGAAATAATGGAACGGGCATATATTTCTGTTGCAAGCCTGGGTTGCCTTTTGCTCATTTTTCACAAAAAACTTTAGAAAACCGTAGTAAATTCCTTAAGAACTGCGTACTGCCTTAAGGAAATTTGACTCAAGAAAATTTCTTAGCCATTTCTTGTACGTCATTTTATATGGAGTTTTTGCTTTTCTTGAGGGCTGCATAGAGGCCTTGAAGGAAATTTGACTTAAGAAAATTTCTTAGCCATTTGTTGTACGTCATTTTGTATGGAATTTTAGCTTTTCTTGAGAACTGCATACAGGCCTATACACATTAAGCCATCGTTCGGACTTCGCTCCGATAGGAGTAGATTTGTTCCGTTTTGTCGACAAAAATTTGAAACCTAGTCCTCTACTTCGCTCAAGTGAAAATCTGCTCCGTTTTGTTGCATCAACAAATTTACTCTTCAAATAGAAAGGAGGTGGGGTTTTTAATAGCAAACTAAAAGTTATATTTTACCTTTTTATCGACACGATTGTTACATTGGTGAGCTACAGCAACTTTGCAAATACACTTGAATTCGTGAAAGTTCTGTAATTGCGTCGTTGCCCAACGATGTAACAATTGTCCCGGTAAAGAAAGAATGAAATAACTTTTTATTAATTTTAACCAAGGCATTTTAACTTTAATGATAATTGCTCGCTGGATTAAGGCGCCTTTACACGGGTCGATTTTCTAGTAGATTTTTGTCGTTCAACCAAAATCGACCCGTGTAAATGACATCTCAACCACTAGCAGGTCGATTTTCCAGTCTACAGATAAGGCCGCTTTAGCTCCTTATTTGTACAAGGATACGAGGAGAAATGAATTGTTTTTTATAAAGATAAGAAATGCACATCTACTACGAATACTTGATATTTACTTCCATTTTTGTAGTCCGAACCCAGCAAAGAGCGCTCGGTGAAGGTCAGCTAGTGATCAAATTCGCCAACAGGGCTGCCAAACATACATGGCTATGAAGTGCCATATTGAGGATAAAAAAGCGCTAAAACGTGCCAAATAGAAAATTAAAAGTGCCAAAGAAGGTGTCATTCTCTTTAGTTCTTCCCATTAGCATTAAAATTAGACAAATTAAAACAAAAGCCCAATGTCAAAGTAAGATAAACCAGTTGTATACACTACAGAAATTAGAAAATTTTAGTTGAGAAAAAGAAGTACACGCAAAGGAGTTCACAAAAATGTATTTAAATTTGGCTTTTTTTCAAAAGTGCCATTTTGGCACTTTGTGCAAAATTGAAAAATTCAGTGCCATTTCAAGTAAAATAGTGCCAAAATGGCACGGTTTGAGCCAAGTTGGCAGCCCTTATCGCCAAGTTTTTTATTTAAAAAAGCACCAAATTACTGAAAATAGCGCAATTTCCGCCCAAAAAAAAAACACCAATTTTGTGTTGCTGTGTTTAATGGTATTTTCGCATATAAAGCTGTATGTTCAAGTATTTTAAGTAATCACACAATGAAACTTGTAAATATTTTCAACAATGCGCAGTTAATCAATTTAATAAATTTAATTTGCAAAATCTTTTTTTATTCGTAAAACAATCTCCAAAACTTGGTTTTTCTAGAATCTTTATTTTCATGCAATTGCTTACTTTTGTACAAATGCGCACACCCAGCAGAATATTCTATGGATTCCGTGATAGAGACTGTGTGAAAATATTGCGTTTAGATTATCTTGGAGCATATTATCCAGAGGAGAAGCTCGGCCAAACACTAACATATGTGTAAGTCAAATACAATGTTACCATAGAATCACGTTTTTATTATAAAATTGCCTTGAAAAGGGCACCAAAGAACAAAACAAGCGCTAAACTAAACAATTTTCGCCTTTTAATTCCCTAAACGCACTTAATTTCTTGCGAAAGGCACAAAGTTGGCAACAGTTATATCGATGTCAAATTTGCTCATATACAAGCATGGACAGAGAGTGAGCGCCTGCTTAAAGAGCGTAAACATCTCATGCAAATACATGCGAGAGCGTAACAAAGCGAACGCAAATTCATTCAAACGTAATTGGTACACTAACACAATCACGCTTTCAGCTCGCGTTTACTTGGGGTCAGCGTTGCCGTTTTGGTCCAATTGGACCAAAATTGGTAGGCTCATTATCCTTTGGTAGTTTGGTTGGTAGGATGAAGCTTTTGGTAGGCAAAAGTGAAATTGCACCAAATTGAGAAATACAATTTGTTTGCTTAAGATTGCATACTGCCAGTGCTATATACTATTTATAGTAATTTTAAAAATATCTATGAATGGTAACCCTGTATTCATAGCAAGCAAAGGAAATAATGACAAGAGAAAGAGTGAAAGAAAGATGTTAAATGTCAAAAACTTGGCATTTGCGCACATTTCTTCAATTGAATTCAACAAACAAGCGAAAAGTTTAGTGATGGACAAGTAAGTTAATTTTGCTTTAAATTTGTAACTTTTTAATCGTTGTTTATTTGCAGGTATATCTGTAAAGCCTCTAAAGCGTCCGAAGTAAGTGTAACGATGACTTGTTCAGGTAAAAAATTGTGACTAATTATGCATGTACATATGTGTCAATTAACACATACTGAAAATTCTCATAGTGATGAAAACTCGCCTGCGCCTTCAAAGCGAAAATTCCGTAGTGAATGGCTGCAATATTTTGACTGGCTTGAAGAGAAGGAAGGTTGTGCATTTTGTATTGTATGTTTTAAAACAATTTTAAATCACCGCACTCATCTGAATAACCACCAGCGCACCAATAATCACATTCAAGCATACAAGGCCGGAAAAAACCAAATCAGCATGTCTAAGTTTGTTAATTCAAACAAGGAAAAGGTAAATCAGCAGGTTTGGCACGCAGAGTACACGCTAGTGATGTTTTGTATTACACATAATCTGCCTTCTTGCTTATGGACTTCCTGCCCAGTTTATTAGCAGAATGTTGTCCAGATTCTGATATCGCTAAACTATTAAAATGTGGAAGAACAAAGTCGACTCAAATCGCTGAGCTGATAGGAAATCATGCAAGTGAGAAAACAATAGCTAATTTGCGAGCTAGAAGATTTTCGGTAATAGTTGATGAAACAACCGACGTATCAGTGAAGAAGTGTTTGGTGCTTGTTGCAAGGTACGTCGACAACGCCCGCGTAGTTCATGACCGCTTTCTTGCATTGATAGAGCTTGGGAAAGCAGATGCGATATCAATTTTTACTGTTATAAAAACTTCTTTAATTCTAAAAATGTTCCGTTAAAAAATCTGATCGGACTAGCTACAGATGGTGCGAGTGTAATGGCAGGTAACATCGGAGGACTGAAGGCATTGTTGAAAACGGAGACTGATGTTTTTCACATAACATGCACATGCCACTCACTACATTTGTGTTGCAGTTACGCTTGCAAAAAACTACCGAGCAGTATTGAAGTTTTATGTCGAAACATTTATTCTTTTTTTTCGCACAGCCCTAAGCGGATCTACGAATTTAGAGAATTTCAAGATTATTGTTCAGTGAAACCACATAAAATTCTCGGTATATGTCAAACAAGATGGCTTTCTTTAGAAGCTGTAATTTGTAGACTTATTGAACAATGGGAAAGTCTGAGGTTATATTTTATTTCAAATTTTCTCGAAGTCAACGGAATTCGATCCGCAGAGCTAGCAAACGCAATGAACTCAAAACTTAAAGCATACCTTTTATTTTTGTCCTATATACTCCCCATCATTAATAATTTGGATAAGGAATTTCAGTCCGATAGTTGTCGATTGCCATACTTATACTCTAATATTAAATCTAATTTCCTTCTGATTTTAAGTAATTTACTTGACCAAAAAAAGTTTAACGATGTATGTATAAATTATAGAGACAAAAGTAATCATATAAACGTATTAAAAATTTTTATTGGAACAAGCTCTGAGGAATTTGTTCAAAGTAACTTAAGCGTTACTGAAATAATTGAGATAAAAACCAACATTCTTGAGTTCTACATTGAACTTTTGGACCAAATCAAAGCGAGATTTGATTTTGGAAGGGAAGATTTGCAGCTTCTAAAAATTATAACACCAGGTAATGTTCTTTTGGAAGAAAATGTAGAAATATTACCATTAATTTTAAAATTTAAAAATTTAGTGGACTGCGATCCCGATAAAGTGATAACTCAATGGAAGTTACTTAGGTCGAGTGATAATAATTTTAAAAAAGATATGGATATCACTTCATTTTGGAGTACTGTTAGTAACATTAAAAATGGTTTGAATGCGTGTTGTTTTATTGATTTAACAAATTTTGTGTTTAATTTAATGACACTTCCATACAGTTCTGCGGGTGCTGAACGAAAATTTTCTGAATTTGCGCTTGTAAAAACCAAACTCAGAAATAAACTAAACATCAGGACAATATATAGTATTATGCACTGTAAAGAACTAGTACAAAAGGCTGATGCACATTACGTGTGGTCAGCAAAAAGAGATCTCAAAGATGTATGATTTTTCTACAAACATTTTGTATACAATTAGGGGATATAAATACTTTTTTTGATACAATATAGGATATAAAAACCGTTTGTTTTTAAACGCATAAAATGCTTGAAATTGTCTTGTCGAAGAAAAAAAAACGTTTGAATGAAATGAATTGATCTCAAAGATATACATATATACTCGGTACGTTTTTTTACAAACGTTTTGTGTATAATATTTTTAACACTTAGGTTGTTCACGCTTGGTTACCAGGTTACCTGGTTAAAAATTATTATTCTGTAGTGTATTTTATTGTTGTAAACTGAATAAAAAATATAACCACATAACCAGATAACCTGATAACCAAGCAAGTGTGAACAACCTAACTTTTATTTAAGCGCATAAAATGTCTGAATTTGTTGTTTTATACATCAAAATGTTTGATATGAATTGAATTAATATCAAAACTATATACCATGTTTATAAATGTTTTTATACGATACGTTAATTAATTTATTGAAACGCCCGAATTTATTTCATGTAAACTTCAAGTATTGCTTGAATGGATAACAAACTGAAGCACTTTAAACCATATTATTTGGTATTTTAATTTATACCTACTGTTAATCTGCAAAACCCGTAAATTTAATAAAATCTCGTTTTAATGATAAAAAATTTTTTGGTAGTTTGCAAACTGATTTAGTAGGCTTTTTGGTACCTGAAAATATTCTCAAGTGGCAACGCTGCTTGGGGTAGTGATCACATCCACTCATATACACTCCTCGTCATTCGAATTGCACACCCTTTCAATTCTTAGTATTTACAGTTTTCCGTTTGTTTATTTAATATAATTTTTTTGTAAAAATATCGTCACTACATACGAATAAAGGCGCGCTGGTGTTTTGACGGTGAAAAAAAGCGTTTAAAAAAATTTTGCAAAAAAAGATGCTTATAAAAAACTTTGGCGAAGTATGTTAAGAGTGTTTGACGCTGAAATTTTTTTATGCGTCTTTTTTCGCCGTCAACTTTTGAGCTCGCGCCTTTATTCGTGTCTAGTGACGATATAGCATATTCTACGGGTAAATGCAATTTTAAAATTTTTTACAAACTATATTCAACAATTTATATTGAGTTCGAGGCCATTTTTTAAATGAAAATTTATTGTGGAAAAACAACAATAATTTTTACAAACTAAAACTTAAAAGAAAGTTTATTTTCCGTTTCTTGGGCAGCATTTTATATGATTTCTTCGTTTTTCTCGAGAGCTGAAAACAGTTCTTAAAAAAGGACAACATAGGAGTGTGCCATCCTAATGACCTGCAGTGAATAAGTTAATAATATTTTTACAAAAATTTCTGATATGCAGTTTTGTAGCTCATTCAATTATAGTGTAATTAAGTGCAGTTTGAAGTGACTCTAAAACAGCCCCGATTTTTCAAATTCATTTATTTTTTATTGACAGTGCTGCGCATTTTATTTCATATAAAAGTTTTGTCGAGCATACTTTGTATGAGAGAAAATGCGCAGCACTATCACCAAAAAAATTGTCAAAAATCACCGCTATTTTACAGACACTTGAAACTTGCACTTTATTGTACCCCTTTGTTGACATTTTTTTTAACTCTGTATAAAGTTTTGAAATCGGATGTAACGAATATTAAATAAACAAAATTAAAGGTGTAAATACTAAAGATTAAAAAGTTGAGCTATTCAAATGACGAGGAGTGTATGTGGCGTACGTTTGGGAGAGTGAGCCTTTTTACTCCAGAATGCGTGTGCAGTGGCTCTCAATGCTATACGTGTATTAGTAAGATTTGTTGCCCCCTTCCCGTTTGCCCATGATTTTCCCCTGACCAAGCCCGCGAAATGGGCTCGCTTGCCCGTACGGGCAAAAGAGCCCATGCGGGCAAAAGTGCCCATGTCTGGTTTAGAGCAGTGCCCGCCAAAAAGAGAAAAGTCTTAAAATGAGAATGTATTAGTTATGAAACAAAAAATGAGAATGTGTTGGTGGTAATGCACGGAAAAAAAATTCTGTGTTGTATTACTTATTATAAAAACTTTGGTATGTTTTTTTGCCGTTTTTTCATTGTGCGCTATTTTTTTTAGATCTAAACAACATAGCAACATATAATGAAAGTTAACGGCCCTAAGAAAGGAAAAAGTTGGTAAAATTTTTTATTATTGTACAAAATTATTATTATATTGTTATAATTTAAGTGTGGATTTCGGAGCAAAAAAGATAACGTGCTTCGAGCACTCTGAATATTAAAAGAAAATTTCGTTGGTTTCAAGTAGAAATAAAATAAAAATATATATATCTAACAAGGAATGAAACCGATTCAAAATAACGTTCCGGTTTGGGTTTCGGTTTTGCCAAGTGTTTCGGTTTCGATTTTGGTTTCGTTCTTCAAAATTTATTTCGGTTTTGGTTTCGGTTTCGTTCCGGTTTCGGTTTTTCAGAGAAATTTTGTTGATATTATTTAAATCACAATGTCTTAAAGGTTGAGGAACGAAAATTGAAAATTACAGTTCACTGATAATATCAACACTAGGTTCTTTCCCTAACAATCCGGACCGGATTTGGTAATTAGAGAATAAGAGAAACATTTTTTTTTTCAAAAATGGAACAAAGTCCAGAAGTACGGGAACGCAAAAACCACATTTCGTGCCCACAAGTCGAGAAACAGCTGATTCACGTTGTTCTTGTTTTTTTTCACTTATACCATGTTCTGACCGACATCGGAAACATGTTTTCGTTGCTAAAACTGGTTTTCGACCTAAAACTTGTGTTTTCGTCCATGTAAAATCTGTCAAACGAAAACCAGTTTTCGCTGAAAACTACACAGATACACAGCAACAACGTCATCACCAGATTCACTTAAATGTTTCCTTTTTGCTGTAAAACTAAAGGTGTATGAAAACTAAAATATAATTGTTATTTTCGTCATATATTTACTACATAATAATGAAACCCCTTCATTTCTGTGTCCTTTACAACTATACACGTGAAAATGAAAATCAAAATGACTTCTTCCAAATAACCGATGCCAGATCGGAGATTTAATTTATTAGGCACCATTTTAGTAGCTTTTTGCGAAAAGTTACCTTGACATACTTATTTACTACTTAACAAGAATTTTAGCAAAATATTGCTGATTTTGGTTAAATAAATCATTTATTTCAAAGAAATTTTGATTTATTATTTTTGTAAATTTCTGGAAACCGATTGAAACCTGTGATTGAAATGGTTTCGGTATCGTTTCGGTTTTGAAAAACGAAACGGTTTTAAACGGTTACGGTTTCGGTTTGGGTTTCGGTTTCATTCCTTGATATCTAATATATATTTATTTTAAAATTAGGTTAAACTTGACATTTAAAAACAATTTAAACTAACGATTAAACCAAAAGATAAATAACAAAACATATTGTATGTTTTAATTGAGGACTAGTCTGGTATTAACAAAAAAAATACATAATTCACAAAATTCTTTTAATATGAAGAAAAAGCACGACTTGGTACCATATACATACCTATTTCTAGGGGTGTATGTACGACAAATTGTTTTATAAAATTTTTGAATGAATATTCATTCATTCTGCTCAGTGTACCTACTTTATTCAACAATAATGCGTCATCAACCTGATTCGGCTATTGTTTGCATGCAACTAAATAATAGAGTTGTCAAACTATCGATAGCACTATCGATAGTTTAAATTTTTTAGACTGTCAATACTCATTGATAGTTTTTTCTTATACTATCAAAAATATAGATAGTTTAGTAGGACTATCGATCATCTCTCCCAATTTTTTTGAAATTATACATACATATGTTAATCGTAAATCCTGTTTAGTTTGTATAACTTGTGTTTGTTTTTGAACTTTCTAAAAGGGTTTTGGCTAAGCAGTTACTTTATTTTGAATGATTATAACTTTTATAAGATAATACTTATTTCACTATGATCCTGTAAAAACAAAGCAACCTAACTAGCGCTATCGATAGTACTATCGATAGTTTTGTTTTTTTGAGACTATCGTGAATATTGATAGTTTTTCTGAAAACTATCAAAACTATCGATGGTGTGACTATCGATAGTTTGACACCTCTACTAAATAAAATTTGTTGCTCTTCTACTCTTTCGGTTGACGTTCGGATTGTGTACGTGTAAGAAGCCGATTGTGTACATGTGAAAGGCCGAATATAAGGTTCATTCCTTATCTTTTTGGACTAAAATCTGAAAAGTGTCAAAATGCCAGAGCGTAAGCAAAATGCGCTCACTAAAAGAGAATAACAGGAAAAGTAAAGGAACGCAAAAAACCAAATTTTTAGTCCAAAGAATGGCAACAACAAAACTAACGTCAAATAAGAACAGAAATGTATGTACAAAACACATTCACACAAGCACAAGCACAATAAACACTTGCTATATCAATTATTTTTTGCCTCCTTCCAATTTCAATTCATTTCTTTTCCTTTTTAGATTATTCTCACTTTTTGCGTATTCTTTAATTTCCGTTAATTTAAATTCAGTTGAGTTTGACACTTTTCAGGATTTTGCCAGAAAAACTTCTTCTGACTAAATCTGACTACTTCGGACTGATGAGAGTCGCTCTCACTGACTTTTGCTCTCTCATTTTTGCTGTCATTTCCGAGTTAAGGAACGCTTTTTGGACTAAATCTGACTACTTCGGACTTTTTCTGACTATTTATGGGAGATAAGGAACGCTCCTATAGTTCGCTTCCCAGGAAAGTGTTTGGCGGGCACTGGTTTAGAGCATAATAAACCATATTTTTGCTATTACCAATCAAAATTCTAAAAAAGCGGATTTTCGGCCCACGCTAATGTACATATATAGATAATTAAATAAGTACATACATGTTCGTGCTTATATACGTACAATAAATGAAAAGTTATGCGTTATTCAGTATTACTTGAATCATGAATGAAAATTTATTCTTCATTCGAAATTACTTGAATGGTGAATAAAGATTTATTCGTCATTCTAAATTACTTGAGTGATGAATACAAATTTATTCGTTATTTGAAATTATTTGAATAATGAATAAAAATTTATACATCATTCGAAAGTGCTTGAAT